AAAATTAAAAATATTTTATAAAAACTAAAAAAAATATTTACACATCATAAAAAATTTAAAAACAAAAAAATACAAAAACTAAAAATTAAAAATCATTCATTTTATATAAATTAGAAACATATTTAAATATAGTACCCTATAATTTTTCTAAATCTCTACTTAAACTACTTAACTAGTTTAAAGATTAAAAATAGTGTATTTTTAAATTAAAAATTTAGAAAGTCAAAATCGAACAATTTTATTTAAAAAATAAATTAAAATTTTTGAAAAACTAATTTTTCTTTTAATTTGATCACCATGAATCACTTGCAAGAGTATTTGTATTTGTTTGTTGGGACGGAGGGAGAGGGAAGTGAAAATGGGAGACGGCGGAGTGAGGCAGTGAGAGGGGATGGGAACCGAGGGTTGAGGGGTAGTTAAGTCTTTTCATAGTTATTATTATTTTTTTAGTGGGGGTCGAAGAAATTTAAAAAAAAAAAAAAAAACGATATCTTTAATTTTTGTGATGAGATTGCATTACTTACTCTTGGTGGCCAACTGAAGGGAGTTTGCGGATAATAATGTTGATAACGGTCAGGGAAGCAGCTTCCAGTTTGTGGCTTAATCGTCTCAACGCAAAACCCTCTTTTAAAACACTCAAAACATCCATTTGCCAAGCCAGTTTCTCTGTCAAGGCAAGAACCACTCAATCATGGAATTCTGGACATCTTTCTACTAGGTAAACATCTTAGTATAATATCATTATGAATTTGTTTAAAACATGTTACAAGTTTTTTTCTTTTCTTTCAGAATTTCTGTACTAAAAATAAAGATATTTCTTGTATGCAAACACTCAAAGGACTAATTTGTAGACAACTTAGTATAACATTGTTGTGAGAATGTTTAGATACAAGTTAAAAGCGTTTTTAAGAATTTCTTTACTAAAAGTAAACATATTTCTTGTATGCAAACACTCAAAGGATTCATTTGTAGACACGGAACTATTGACTGGCCTTGTGTTGACGCTGCTTGCTTTTCTTTGTTATTTATATTGGTGCTAAGTGCTCAAGTTTCAGTCCCTTCACCCAAACTTGATTCCTTTGAAACAAATTCGATGGGAATGAGAACAATTGAATGTCTTCCTTTTAGATCCAATTTAGTCATTATCTGTGTTTGGTTCAAAATTACTAATTGCTTTTACTATTAACAACATGAACGAAATTTATCCCTTGTTCTCTAATGCTTCGTTAATCTAACTCTTATTAGAGTGGTCACACACACACACATATATATATATATGCTGCCTTGTAGCAAAGTGTGTAATGTTTGCTAAAGTGGTCAATTGTCTCTGCTATCAATTTTAGAATGAAATCTACAAACATTTAATTTTCTTCCCTTTTGTTGTCGGTTGTAATAATTTTGTTTCTCAGTTGCATTTTCAAACTTTGTGCAGCAGTGAGGTGGTAAATTTTGATCCCTTAGGTATTAACTCAGATTTATCTTCTCATTTGAATTCAACCTGGGAAAATCTGGTGTGCTTGTTCACACAAACATTTGAGAGTGCTTCAAGTACAGAAAAGGGAAAACCTAACTCTTCGCAAGGGGTAGCAGGTGTCATTCTTCGCTTTATCTTATTGAACTTGAAATTATGATAGCAAGAGTATTGTTCAATTGGATTTGTATTTTGGTTTTGGCAGCTGCAATAGAGGATAGTTCAATAGATTTTGGTGACTTTTTTAAAGGTCCACTGCCAGGGAAGTTTCTCAAGCTTTTAGGGTTTCTTGCCTTGTCACGGCTCGGAGTGTACATACCCCTAGGTGGAGTTAATAGGGAGGCTTTTGTTGGAAATTTGGATCAGAATAGTTTATTAAGCACTTTGGACTCGTTTTCTGGTGGTGGTATTGGTAGACTTGGGGTATGCTCCCTTGGTATTGTTCCCTTCATCAATGCACAGATCGTTTTCCAGCTTCTTGCACAAATATATCCCAAATTGCAAGATCTTCAAAAGAGAGAGGGTGAAGCTGGAAGAAAGAAAATTCTGCAGTACACTCGATATGCTTCAGTTGGATTTGCCATTGTACAGGTCAGCAATTGTTGAATTTTGTGGTGAACTTTTGTTTGTGATATTACTTTTATAAAATAGAAAAAAAAATTGTTTTGGTTCACTAACTTTGTGCAACAATAAAAAAGAAATGAAACTGTACTGTTGGAAGGAGATTCTTGCCTGAAAATCCATGCTGTTTAATAACTGTTCTCTCATCCTATGCAATGTATATTACTAATTGAGTTTTTTCCTTTATATTTTTTTGTTCCTTTTTCCATTACAGGCAATTGGCCAAGTTCTTTACCTACGTCCCTATGTCAACGACTTTTCTGTAGAGTGGGTTCTTTCTTCTGTTATATTATTGACACTTGGCTCTGTGTTTACAACGTACATCGGTGAACGAATTACAGATCTAAAACTTGGGAATGGCACCTCTCTGTTGATATTCACAAACATTATCTCCTACTTGCCAGCTTCATTTGGTAGGACATTTGCGCAAGCTCTTAAAGATGCTAACTACATTGGACTCGCTACCATCATTGTGTCCTTCTTTCTGTTGGTAGTTGGTATTGTCTATGTTCAGGTAAATCTCATTTTAATTGTTAAGAAAAGATGTATTTGAGCTAGCAAAGAGATGTTGATCTCCAACAGTGGCATTCAGGAAGCAGAGAGAAAAATTCCCCTTAACTATGCGTCGAGATTCACCAGCAGAAGCACTGGGCTTGAAAAGTCTGCTTACCTTCCCTTTAAGGTCCTCTTTTCATTTTACCAACTTCTAGTTTTATCTTTTATGTTATTGTTGTCTAATCTAATTGTCTGATGCGATTGATTATTTATGAATATTATACCTCGAAATTTGAGAATGTAGGTCTTCTTCTTTGTCAGGTAAATAGTTCTGGAGTAATGCCTATCATATTTTCTACATCATCATTAGCTCTTCCTGGTACTTTAGCACGCTTCACTGGTTTAGCTGCTCTAAAGAAGGCCGCAGTGGCGTTAAATCCAGGAGGTATATGGTTGTTCTTGCAGTAAATTTATATGAAGATTTTTCTGCCTGAAGTATGTTGATCTTGTGATGGAAGCACTTGGAGAGGATTGATATTCTTCCAAGCTTTCCATGCAAGGACCGAAATGCTCCATGAGGTTGAACTCCTTGAAGGTGGCGGAATCACCTTGGAGGATTCTCCAATGGTGGAGAAGCACCTAAGAGAGGTTCGGTTACCTCTTGAAGAAGTGGAGAAGCTTGAGGAACCAAGCTTCTAGGAGAAGGAACTTTGAGAGAAAACTAGATACCAAAACTGAATGAGAATTCTCTCTTCTAGGTTTTCTAGCAAAGCATTTCAACTTTGCTTTGGTTCCTCAAGCTTCCTTCACAAGCTTTAGGAAGTGACCGAATCACCTACAAGATTTCTCCTCCATTGAAGATCCTTCAAAGGAGTATTCAGAGGTCTTAAGGTGTCAACCTCAAGTAGCATCACGGTCCAAGCATGGAACTACTTGGAGAACTTCAATCTCTTCAAACTAGCTCCATCATCTTGTGTATTTGAAAAAAATATATTGTTGAAATGAAATTCTATCATGCTTTATTCCTCAAAGTTTTGTTTCTATTTGTTGTAGGTTCCTTCTACCTTCCATTTAACATACTTTTGATAGCCTTCTTCAACTACTATTACACTTTCCTACAACTGGACCCTGATGATGTGAGTGAACAATTGAAACGTCAAGGTGCTTCAATTCCACTTGTCAGACCAGGCAGAAGTACAGCTACATTTATCAAAACAGTAATTTCATCCTTTCCTAGTTTCTTATTCCGTGATTTCCTTTTGATTATATCCTGACTTCTGTCCCAAAATATAGAAATATAATATAGTAAGCCATTATCTTTAAAGTTTGTGCTGAACATATTTCAAAATTGTACGGATTGAGATCTCTCTCCTACTAGTGAATGGAATTTAGTTTTAGGACTCTTGAAAATTCAATCAACATTTTATCTTTGAACTTGAAAATCAGTGAACCATTGGCTTTCTTCTTTATTTGTCACCCTATTAATCTGCATCTAGCTGTCATATGCTGTTTTATTTTCATTTTTTCCACTCTTAACAGCTATGTTAAATGGCAATCAAATTATTGTTCCAACAGAATTTTACGGACATCTGTGAACGATGATCTTTTAGTATAATACTGCTAATTGGTAATAAATGGTTGTATCAAATTATTGGGCAGTTGGTCCTGTGCAAGTAGTAAATAAATGTGCACCCATCAATCACAATATTGTCTCTGTAAAAGTTATGAGAAACACTAGGTTCTCTGTCTAATCCTTTACAGCATGGTTCTTCCAATGCTTCTTAGAGCAATTTTTTTATGTTCAGTGTTGACTGACCTGTTTTGAATTGCAAGTGTTGGATTCGTTGTTCACACCCCTTGATGTTCGGTGCAGGTTCTTAGTCGAATATCAGTTCTGGGTTCAACATTTTTGGCTATCTTGGCTGGTGGTCCAGCTGTTGTTGAGCAGATTACTCATTTGACTGCATTCAGGGGATTTGCAGGAACATCTATTCTTATTCTTGTTGGTTGCGCAACAGACACAGCAAGAAAAGTTCAAGCTGAGATTATATCCCAAAAGTACAAGAACATAGAGTTCTATGACTTTGATAAATATTGACCATTAAAGGAATGGCGGTTTGTAAAACTAGAAAAACGCAGCTACATTTAATATCGGCCTGTAAATAATGCTGTAGAGCAGCGACTTGCTTTATTTGTTGTTGAAAAGATAAGTCTGTAAATCCATCCAGTTTAACGGTTCAGGTTCAGGCATTACGATGATGATTTTGGCCTTTTCCCTCGTTAAATATTCTGTTTCTTGCAATTAATTAGCATTGTTGGCAGCCAAAGATTTGGTCTGTCCCAGCTGGGCCTAACAGTTTATCTTAGCATCGAATAGGGTGGACAAGCTACCAATTTGCAAATAAACTGGTTATAATAGCGTACAAGGTTATAAAGAAAACTTCTTAGAACAGAAGAGGATACAAACTATATTCCTGAGTTGAATTTAAGGGCTGACTAGAATTAATAATGCAAGAAAAACAAAACGATTCTCAGTTTGCCCCTTTTTTCACCCCCTTTATCTATTAGGACCATCAAAGTGGGTTTGATGCATACTTTGCACAATAGTAATCAACCAACCTACCCAGATGAAGATTGAAAATATATATCAGAAACCCACCATCACCATTCCCTCGGCATAACATTTTAATTCCCCCTTTTATCGAACTCGTTAAAATACACCAACAACCACCAGCATGGCCATATGGCAGAGGGATAAGAAGGATTTGTGTGACCTACATAATCATGACCCATACCAAAATAGAATGTAGGTTGCAACTGAATCTGAGAAACCAAACGCCACTGAATAAGTTTTACTAATCATCATCGGCTTCGGTTGAGAAGTCAGGTTCTTCAGGCTTCTGTAACTGGGGCAAGTCATCTTTAATCTTCAGAGCTCCTCTTCGTGTGTTAGCAGCAAATCTAGAAGCAAGAATTGTAGCCCCAAGGTTCAATTTGACTTGGGATGAATTTGAAGCAGCAGAATAGTCCTCATGTTCTCTCTCACTAGCCACTGTTTCATCTAAAGGAACGGATTCCCTCAAACAGAGGTCTTTCACAGACATCCTTTTCTTATAACGGCGCCAAGCAGCCTGTATAAAGCAGGCTGCCCAAGTCCTCCAATGGTGGGAATAAAATCGAAAGGTGTGCTGCAGCTTCTTACTGTGGAGGCGCCTAAATTGATTAGCTACAAATTTGAGGTCTTCAGCCCGAAGAGCAAAAGCTTCAACCTCACTTAGGGCTTTAACTGTCCTAGTTGAAGAAGGCAAATTAATGGTTGATTTTGGGAGTAAAGCCCAAGAAAGTAGTTCCTCGCCACAAAAATCTCCAGGTCTCAATATGATCGAGTTGAAGAAACCAGTCCGGCCACCATTTGTAGTACAACTATCCAGTCTACCTCTGATGATAAAAAGCATTTCAGTCACAGGGTCACCCTCACGAACAATGTAAGTGCCTTGAGTGCTCAGAGACGATACCAACCGCTCACATATTGCATCCAAAAGCTGATCATCCATTTGTGAGAAAAAGGGTACCTAAAAACACAAAGGAAATTTGTTAAATGCTTGTAATAAAGTAAGTAGTATACTTGCTATCATTTCTGATACAAACCGAATTCCACACTCTACAGTAACAGAAATGAAAGAAATATAGCAAGAATGGAAAAAAAATAATTATGGTCTCTGCTCTGCTCCCTACTCATAACTAACAAAATGAATCGCAAGGATACCCCCTCCTCACTCCTCTTCTCTCCTATATTCCAAAATCACATCCACTATTCAGTAACTAACTCTCCCTCCTTCCCTTTCTCACTGCCAGCTCATTATTCCTCTCGGTTTTCCTTCTGTTCCTTAGTGCATAACTCCAAACTTTGGGCCCGTGAGACAATTGTTGAGCCTACATTCCTTTCTGACCACGAACCTAGCTTCTGTTCACTCCACTTATTCTACAATAAGAAATCTACAAATGCTAATGCCAACTCAGACACGTGAAGATAATTTGAACTCGATGGTACTAAATGCATCAAATCTTCAAGACTGAAAGCATTTTGTGAAAACTTACATATCACAGGGCTCTTATTACAAGTAATCATAAAATACTATCCTGTGTTCAACTTGGAAGAATCAATTAAACAATAGTCTGTTATGCCCCAAATTGTGGACATGAGCACGGGAGAATTTATAGAGATACCATAACCATACTTTTAAGTGAACCATCATGAGCTTATGAATTAAGAAGAATCTCTTAAACCTAAAAATGTCAGCAGAAATCATACTCGTCTAACAAGGTCTAGGCACAGATGGCGTTGGATATCTCGGCGAAGATCAGCAGGCAATGCACGTAGAATAGTTTCCTCATCAACTCCACGAGTAGCAAGCCATTTATATTGAACAAATCGTCTAACACGACTTTTCAAATCTTCAGGGAGTTGGCGATGCCTCATCCACTCCTCTGTGTCTCTTCGCTTAAGCCTCCACTCCTCAAGCCTTATAGTAATTGATTGCAAATATGTCTACACCAAAGAAACAACTTCAGTTCAGGAAAAAAAAAAAACAAAAAAAACTAGGCACTATTATATTAGTATAGTATATTGTTAATTACTCTAAATAAACAAGTCTAATAGCTTATTTGGCCTTGTGTTGTGTAAGAGATTACGTAGCTCATACACAACCTGGAAAAAATCAAGATGGCAAAAATCCTAAAAATTAAAAAAAAAAATTCAAATTTCACTCTATATCTGAAGTTGGTATTTAATGAAGTTGTGTCTTCAGAATGAAATATCATTTACAACGAATGATGTCAGGAAATCAATTAATCAGAGAAGAAATAAAATACTTGTTTTACAAGATATACAAGGACATAAATATTTTTCTAAGAAATCTATTGGAAAGCTAACGAATGAAATAAGAATTAAAGGATATATTCGGCT